AGGTTAGAAAGTCAAGCACTCAAAAGTTAGGAAATACCAGAATTAAAGGTTGCTTGCGCAACATTAATGTGGCCCCCTTGTGAATATGCATTATGGAATAGGATAACATGCTATTCCCCCCCCCCCCTCCACAGGACCCCTGCCTAATTTAGTGTACAGCATGGACATTGCTCTCGGAATCAGGATTGTGTAGTGAATGAGGTTGTTGTCTCCATGACCTCTGCCTCATTTGTTGCAGAAGTTGGAAAGTGTGCAGTGAAGACAGCAGGGACTTACAGAAGGAGAAGGGATGGTCTCCTAGTTAAGATATTTGAATGCAACCTTAGAGAACTAGGTTCAATTCCTGCTTCTGCCACAGAATTCTTATATGATGCTGGATACCCAACAGAAGATCTCTTACAGAAGTATAGCCAAGCACCTGAAATTGATTGAAATGGTGCTTTTAACATATTAAAGTGCTAGACTCAGTAAAATTGAATCCTAAGTATACCAAGTTGGGCACTTAAAATTAGCAAACAATTTTGTCGTTAATGTCTCTGTGCCTCTGTTCCACCTTTTGTGTTCTGGGAATAATAATGCCTCCTAAGATCACAGGAGTGCTGAGAAGATAAAATTCATTAGTGTTTGTGACACTATGGTGAGAGCACCACAGAAGCCCAAGAGGAGATTACTAGTTTTGTATTCAACATAGTGCAAACACTCCGTAACCAAAAGTCCCCAAACTTAATCCACACACTCCCCAGCAAGGGCATGCAGTCTTTAAAACCCAGCTTCGTTCTCTTAAATGTCTTCTCCATCCCTCTGCCAGGGCAGTCGCCCACAACTTTCCTTCTGGGGTGCAACCCTGCTCTTCCCAGTGAGAACTCCCACAGCCTGTCTGCTGGGTGCATTCTTGTCAGGGAAGCATCCCTCACTCCCCTGGCCCACACTATTCGCCGTGGTCCCCACTCTCCAGCAAGGGGATGCCAGAAAATAAGCTCTTCCTCTTCTCCCCCTTCCTACAGCTCTCTCTAGCCCTTAGCTCTGGCTCTCCAGCTTAGAGCTAGCAGGCATCTTCCTCTTCTGCCTTCAGCCCTGGCTCTCTGGCTTGGGGATGCCAGCCAGAAAACACCATGTGTTGCTCTTTGCCTTCAGCCTTCTCCCAGGAACCATCTTCTCTGTTTGGCAGCTCTCCTGTCCTTCTCCTGTCTGTCTCCTGACTCATCTTCTATAACCCACCCAGATGTTTCTCCACCCTCTTAATTGGCCCAACTGGGAGCATGTGGACTGGATGTTCATTTAATGGGCCAGCAACCCTGTTGCAGAAAACAAGACACATCCCTAGCACCAGCAATGTGTCCTGGCCAAATTGCCAGACTGAGAAAGTTCTGTCTCCTGCACAAATGAGCTTAATTCTTATTGTTGTGAGTTCCATTGTGCCAGATAGTGAAGTTCTTCATCCTGGAGCTTTATATTGTCTTTTAGGTATCCTGGGCTCATGCCATGAAGCACCTTGAAGATAAGGGACGAACCCTTGAACTTGATTTGATATTCCTTGGGAATCCAGTGCAGAAGAAGTTTGCTGTGCTTATGGTATCCAGTGTTGCTGAAGAGATGCGCTTCTGTGTTCTGTACTAGTGGGAGTCTTTTAAGTGCTGAAGACTTAATTTCTGGTATATCTCATTGCTGTAGTCCAACCAAGAGGCGATGAAGGCATTTATAACTTGAGATCAGGCCATCATCTTCCAGGATGTGATGGAGTCTCCTAGCCAACCAGAGATGATAGAAAGTATTACTCATGGCTGTTGCGATGTGAGAGCTCAGTGGCAAGAAGAAATCCAAGAGCACTCCTAGACTACGTTCTGAATTGACCTATTGTGGATATGAACCATCAAAATGTTGTCCTCTGCCCACCAACATCACCTCTGTCTTTCTTGGGTTCAGCTTCAGCCAGCTGTGCTTAATCCATAAGCTGATCTTATACAAGCCTGGTGGTAGTGGTGAGGTCATATGTGGTGAAAGACAGGTACAGATGTGTCATCCACATATTGCTGGCACATGAGTTCATGTTATTTGACCATTTCATGGTTGCATGTGGATGTTGAAAAGGACTGGAGAAAGAACTAATCCTTGTGGAACTCCACAAGTGAGGGATCTAGTGGTGAAGGTGTAGTTTCCCCATCATTATTCATTGGTTGTGTCCCTCAAGGAAGAGCTTAAACCATTTAGTGCATTACCCTGGCCCCTGTCACTTCCCTCAGCTGAGAGAGCAGTAGTTTGTGGTCAACAGTGTTGAATGCTACAGAGAAGTCGAGCAGGGCTAAAATTTGGCTAAGTTTTAAGTAACTGAAAACAGCATGTAATCATGGGAAGTACTTGGCAACTTTAACTTTAGGCATCACTATCTGCACTGACTATAATGGAAATCACTACTCAGTGAAAAGTCAGCATAAAACAGGCACATCAAAATTCTGTTTTGGAAACAAACATTTGGATGCACCTCTGCAAGCCTTTGACACAGGTTGACAGCTAGTTACTTTTGAACTTTAGGACCAGCTTGGTTGTTCTTGCACATGAACAGATGACACCGCATTTCAACACACCTTCTCATAGATTCTAAAGCTGCTCTAAAGACACAAAGCCTTAAGAAATTGGTACAAACCATTTAATTCTTTTTGGTGGTAAGCAGAGTCCAGGTTTGCATTAGTGTGTGTTCAGGATGTGCATTTTTCCTCTACTTTTTATTTCTCTTTAATAAACCTTTTCATCCACAGTGAAAAGAGCTTAGAGATGCTAGCAAGTTTTTTTTGTTTATACTTTTTTCCTCCTTGCCATTGTTTTAATGCCATTAAAAAGCTTGAAAATATTACATTTTCTTTTACTTTTTTCTTCTTCCAGTTTTGGGGGAAAAAAACCAAAGAGCAAGCACAACTGTAATTCAATATTCCTCATACTTCCTTATTTGTCTGCTGGCCTCATCATTGGCAGCACAGCTCTCTGAATTGGAGTGTGTGTGTTTATTTGTATTCCACTCTGATTTTTTCCCTGCAGGGCTAGGTCACTGAGTTTAGATATAATAACCCACCCCTCCAGCCAAATCCAGAGCTTTATGAAGGTCCTAAAAAAGTTTGGGTCAGGGTCTCAATATCAGTCATCTACTCACTGTCATTATTAATGACTAAGCATTTTCCAACACCACTCCCAGCAGGTCTTTCATTATTTTAAAATATTTCAACACACATATTTTTCCTACATTGACCTCAAAGTTTTTTTTGTCTCCCCTCCTCTTCTACCTGCCAACTGAGTCTATCAGGATTTTGCAGGTGGCTAGCTATCTGAAGTACAGAAGAATACAGAAATTTTGGTCATAAGTCCCACAATATGTGTCATCACCATGTGGAATAAGTAACTCTGGGGAAATGTTTAGAAGCCAAAACTAGAAGTTTAAATACAAGCTGCAGGTTTTTCCTACTAATATCCATAACTCAATGTCAGATCTTTCAGCTTCTGAATTCATTGGCTTACATAACTGTAACTATTTCCTGAAACTATGGAAAAGCTGTCAAGATCTCACATGCACACAAACACACCCACATACTTGCATACAAATCCAGCAGATGCAGAGTTGAAACTTGTAAGTAAGTAGCATTTCACAGGATACAGTACTCACTGATTAAATAAATTTTTGTATGTGTCATACCTTACAATAGGCACACTCTGCTCATTTATGATGGCTGTTCAACCTCTTGTCATTACAGAGCATCTTGGGCCTCACTTAGGGTGACCAGATGTCCCAATTTTATAGGGACAGTACTGGTATTTGGGACTTTTTCTTATATAGGCTCCTATTACCCCCCCACCCCTGTCCTGATTTTTCACACTTGCTGTCTGGTCACCCTAGCCTCACCCTACTCATTTACACACTGAAGAATAACTATGCCTCTAAGTGAGAGCAGAATCAGTGCCCTTAATTGCGGGCACCGAGATGGTTTAAAACTAACTAGGGAAACTTTTCTTTAGCTAAGCAAGACAAGATCAAGTGCATCAATATATCTGAATGGAATCTCACCAACTCTGGTAGGATGCAGTGCAGAGACAGCAACAAGAAAACCCACAAACTGGACTATGATCATCATCATTTAACAATTAAAATATATATCTTTATTTAAATTCAGCCTTTATCATTCTTACTGAGGGCAGAATTTAAGACAAAAGGATTGCACAGGTGTAACTGCCAACACTTCAGTGCGTAGTCTGAAGAATCTTTCTAAAGTGCTAAAGATGCACAAGTAAGGGAAAAAAAACCTCTAGATTTTTAGATCCCAGGTTGAGTTAGGTAGGGCAGCAGTTAGGGGCGAAATAAAAACAAAAACAATGTATTTTGTAAACTGAGCAAGCTTGTTATGGTAGCACATTGTAAAACAATACTCATAGAACTCCACAATGACCTTTTTACATAGCCAGTTTTCAGACAGTTGTACTTGCAGTTTTACTTCTAACCTCAACGTGAGCAATGTATTGGGCCCTAAATCAGGGAATTGGGCCCCAAAACAATAAGAAATACTATCAAGTGGCTACCAGAGTCATGCATGTTCAATGGTGACCATACAAAAGAACCCAAAAGAATAAGGATTAGTTTCTTACCAGTCATATGGGATTAATTTATACAATTCTTGGTGATTTGCGTACTGTTTGTCACATAAGTGATTTTTAGCTTCAAGAAAAAAGTCTAAGTTTAGCAAACACTTTGGAGTTTTTACAGAGTGTTAAAAATTATATCCCTTTAAAATGTATTTGAGAAACTTTATGGTTTCCATTACTATCCGTCGCCCCCAAAAAGATAATTGAATACTTTTGTCCCATAGAAGACTATACAAGTCTTTCATGCTATTGTTGTCTATTTCTAGGAACTGTTGTGACAACTGTTTACTTTCCTGTTTACTAACAGAAACTAAATGGTGGCACCACCACCACCACACACTTCAACAACCCAGAAATAGAAAAGCTTCTGATGGGTTTACCTTTATAGGAAAGTTTAAGTCTTGGGATATTTTGCTTTGAAGTTCCAGTGACTGGAAGGAACAGCATTACTAAGGATAACACTGTGCAGACATGTGGTGCTTTGAAAGATCTCATTCTGCTGTTCTCTCGACAGTCTGTTCTTGCATTCATGGTGAAAAAGGTCCGTTTTTCAGAAAATCCAAATGTAATCTGAAAGCAAGAAGAAAACATCTGTGTCTCCTTTGCATCGTCACACACAAAGCTTATGAAGGCAGGCCAAACCTTCAGTTAGAGAGTATCTTAAGCAGAAGTCACTTTGTTATAGAGACTTTTCTCCAGTATACACCAAAACTCTAATCTCTTTTCTATAAAACTAATTTGGTAGACTGAGGCCGGAACAATGCGTAAGCTTTTGGACACCGTCTAGCATAGCTAACTTTTAAGTACAAATTAAATTAAATATAATACCCATTAAAAATAGTCACATTAATGCCTTGGCTATCTCTATATAGATCAGGTGTTCTCAAACTGGGGGTTAGGACTCCTCAGGGAGTCACAGGGTTCTTACATGGGGGGGGTTGACGAGCTGTCAGCCTCCACCACAAACCCCACCTTGCCTCCAGCATTTATAATAGTGTTAAATATATAAAATGTGTTTTTAATTTATAAGGAGGAGTTGCATTCACAGGCTTTCTATGTGAAAGGGGCCACCGGTACAAAACTTTGAGAACCACTGACACAGATACCACAGCAATTTTATATCCTTACACTGTGAATAGGCTACACTGTAATATCTCAGATACCACGGTGTAGCAACTGGAGATACCATTAAAATTAACATGTAATTGACATTCATCACAAACTTATTTATAAAATAAAAAAAAGGGATATTAGAAGCTTTTATTCACTTTCAGGAGAAAAACAATGATTGCTGATACAACGTTGTTCTCAGTGAACTAAGACTTACTTAACCACAATCCACAAACCAAAACGTCCTAGGAACGTTAAACGGGGGAGGTCCATGCAAAGGCCCATCTCAGCACAACATGTAAGAAAAGCAAGCTTTGCATCACCTTTCACTTAATAATCATAATAGAATACCTAGCTCTTTTCATCCATAGATATCACAGAGTACCCTACAAAGGAAGGCAATTATCACTATCCATGGAAAAATGGAGACACAAGTAAGTTGAAGTGACTTTGGGAAGATCACACAGTAGTCTCCCTGTGTAGAATTGGGGACAGCAAGATTGGATTTTTTTTCCCCTAAAAGATATTCATGTTTGAACAAGAGCATTGGTTTGGGGAAGTTCTATGGCCTTTGTTATGCAGGCGGTCAGGCTGGATGACCACAGTGGTCCCTTCTGGCCTTAGAATCTATGAAAATGACCAGAGCAGATACAACACCAGTGATTAACAAGTAGGGCTGCTGGAAAAACAATGACAATTTTTCCATTAAATTTTTTTTTCGGGCGGGGGGGGGGGGGAGAGCGGAGTCAGTTGACTTAAAAAAAAAAATTAACTCCAGTGCTCTGATCAACTGATTTGGTGTAAGTACCGCAGGCAATGTTCTGTGCTGACCCTTTTAGATGAAACAGAATGCAGAGCCCCTCTGACGTTTGGGCTGCTCCATGGCTCTCGGTGTTAACTTAGCATTAGTTTAGCTCTCAGAGAAGCTGCAGCACTGCCCAGGATCTCCATGGTATTGCAGGCTCTAGCCCTACCCCCGGCACATCCCTCCTGGCCCCAGCCTCTCCCCAAGCACATCCCCTACACCATGGCTTGCAATGGGGTCCTTGGAAGATTGCGGAGGATAGATGTGTCTTGCCAGAGTAATCCTTCCTCCGCCTAAACAAGGTGGTTCTGAGCCCTTTACACTACTCTGGTACTTCTACCTGGTGTAAAGAAGCCAGAGAGGGGGTGAGGATCTCACCTGGAACATCCTTCCTATGCCAACACATTCAGTTTCCTCCCTCTCCTTCAAATCTCTCCTCCAAACGCAGCGGGACCCTGCCGCCTTTCAATCTGAATCGACTCCTGTAGGCTACGCACAATCGCCCATTCATTAAATAAAACCCCAAAGTAAGCATCTGATTATTTGATTTGTTTCTTATTCTTTGCCCTGTTAGAATGCAAACCCCTGAGAGAGAGAGGGAGAGAGAGATCTTGTTTACTCCATAAATGTGTATTACTGAGTTCATTATTGGCGCCCAACAAATAAGACGACACAAAACTGATGGTGACATTAACCATCTTTCTCTATATATCTATATAAAAAAAGACTGAGGTGAAAAAAGATGCACAGGCCCTGTCCATTTTGGTGGAGGAGAGTGAAAACTATACTCCAAAGCAAGAAATTATCTAACATCAAGTCTCATTGCAAAGATTGCATAGGAATCATGGCTTGAGGGACTGGGATTCTGCTAAACGTATAAGGATTCCGCCAGAGGGTGTGAGGGTCATTTTCTGGAGGCAAGAGCATACTTAAATTGTAGGTCCAAATTCACCAATGGTATAGCGAGGCATGAATGGGATGTGTCTTACAGCACTAAATTTAGCCTTTTGGCTGCAAGGAGTCTGACTTTTCCACGTAGAAATTTCTTGCTACACAAATCCTTCTTTTGTATTGTCTGAACTCTGGCTGTGGAAAGAGGCCAGACACAAGGGGCTTACTTTACACTTGAGGCAGCTGTTCAGTGAGTTTGAGCCAAAAAAGTCCCATTAAGGACTCACTGCAGGCTAGTAAGATTTTTTAAGTTATGCTTTTTCATACGTTCATCCTCTAATACACCTCCAGCTTCAATACAGGACTCTTCCAGGAGATTAATGACTAGCTCAGGTTAATGTACCTCAGACCAATTGACTCATCATTAATCCCCAGAAAATGCCCAATAGCTTCTGGGTACGGTGACCAGATGTCCTGATTTTATAGGGACAGTCCCGATATTTGGTGTGTTATCGCTTATGTGGACACCTATTACCCCCCACATCCTGTCCTGATTTTTCACATTTGCTATTTGGTCACCCTACTCTTGGGACATCTCTAATGTAGATCAGTGTCCTATGCTACATTTGACCAAATCCATAAGCACTGTTTTGTTTTTAAAAGAGGAATTTTATAAGAATGAATAGCAATTCTTCTTACTTTAGTTCTTTGATGTTTCTGATAAGCATCTACCTATGCTGCAATAGTCCTGTGAGATGTACTGAACCAAAATGGAGGACAAAACATTTCAAGAGAATGATGTTTAACTTCAAGTGCTTTATCATGAAGCTGTAATGTATCTGCATTTGGTTCTTTTACGTTTTTTTATTATCCTCCTGTAGGGAGCCAGGGTGGCTCCCCTCTGAACCAGAGGGTAAAGAGCCACCCTTTCAGCCTGAGTGGGCGGAGCCAGGCCAAGCTTCCGCCAATCCCCGGAAGGGGAAGGGTGGGACAGGAAGTACAAAGGGCGGGGCCCTCTGCCCAGTGAAGAGAGCACCAGGGAGGGAGACAGACACGGGCTACTGGCTGCTCCCTCGCGAGCCTGCTGCTGACCCAGGCGAAGCCCTGGGCAAGGAGGAGCCTGACCGGGAGGAAGGCCTGTGGCAACCAGGGCTGCCAGCCGCTGAATACCCAGAGGACCTGGAGGGGCCTGACTGCAGCCCGGGCCAGCGTGAGTCCGACACCGAGGGGGAGCGGGAGCTGCCCGCAGCGGATTACCCGGACGAGATGGAGGGACCGGAGCTGCCCGCCTGAGACCCCGGGTAGGAAGTAGCCCAGGGGCCGAACTACACCATGGGGTGGGTGTGTTTGGTCAGCGGGTGCGGACGGCCCCACTGACCCAGCGGCAGGACCTTCGCCTCCCGCCACTGTCAGGGCCCTGGGCTGGAACGCAGCGGCGTTGGGTGGGCCTGCGTTCCCCTACCCTGGCGCTCCCCTGCCTGAGGGGCGCGCTACTGACTCCGGCCGGCACACCTTCCCCGCTAATTCCCCAACGCCTGGAAGGTGTGGCTGAGGCCTGCCACGGAGACCATAGCTCTCCATTGCCCCTAGGGGCTCGGAGGACCAACCAACACCTGTCACAAGTGGTGGAGAATGCGGACAGGCGATCCCAACCCCTGCCGAAAGGGATTAGTGCGAGGGCGCCTGTGAAGCGCCCCTACTGGAAAGATGGAGATGGAAAGCCTTATCAAGTTCCTGGCTGAGAGCCAGCAACAGCAGCAGCACCAGCTCGAGCAGCAGCTGGGCGCCCACCAGCAGCAGTTGCTTCAAACCCTGGGGGCCCAGCACCAGGAACAGCAAACCCAGTGCTTCCAGCAGCTTGCAACCCTGTGGTCAGGCCTTGGTGGTGCTCAACCGAAGCGGGCAGCCACCCCGACCCTTCCCGCCCCACCGATCTGTCTGGCCAAGATGGGGCTGGAGGATGACCCGGAAGCCTACCTAGTGACCTTCGAGCAGGTTGCCTCAGTGGCTGGTTGGGCGCCTGACCAATGGACGACACTCCTTGCCCCATATCTGACAGGGCTAGCCCAGAAGGCTTACCATGGGCTCCCAGATGATGAGGCCTGCATTTATGCTCAAGTGAAAGTGGCTATCTTGGATGCCTTCAACATTACCCCGGAAACCTTTACCCCGGAAACCTTTCGGCAACGGTTTCGGGAAAAGGTCTACCCACCGGGCGCCAGACCCCAGGCGGCGGCCCAGGAACTGAAGGACGAGGGTACCCGATGGCTCCAACCCGAGCGTTGAACCGCAGCTGAGGTGATGGAACAGGTCATCCTCGAACAATTCGTGCACATCCTCCCACCCCAGGGGAGGGCTTGGGTGTTACGGCACCGGCCACAAAGTCTGAGCTCGGCCGTCACGCTTATGGAGGACTTTCTCGAGGCTGAGGTCCCGATACGACCGGCCGCCTGCCCCCCAAACCCTGGGCCCAATGCACAGAAACTTGAATGGAGGGGGCCCACCTCTCAAACCAACGCACCCCACCGTACCAGACGACCAGAAGGCGGCAGGACCGAGTTTTCCCGATGGCCCGAGTCAACACCACTCTCTGGCCCTGGATGCTTAACCCGACCACCAGGCCCCGGCCCACTCTGCGGCCCCACTGGTGCCCCCACGTGGCCGGCGTGCCCAGAGGTAGGACCTTGTTTCCGATGTGGTGAGTATGGGCATCTGCAACGGGGCTGTCCTGCAATGGACTGCAACTTTGGCCTGGTGTGTGCCG